TGACCAGGTTGTTTTTGGCACTAGAGAAGCTGATTCGGAAATTCTTATGGAAAGTTTGTCAGAATTGCTAGTACGGGAGCGCGGGGAAGATTCCGCAGAAGAATAGAGAGTGACTAGCCTCAGCAGCTCTTAACGTACAGTATAAATATTCCCATGCCAAATGGCTAGTTTCCTTAATATATAAAGAGTTCTCACAAATGAATAAGAAAAGGCCTTTTTAAAAACTCTCAAAAAATAAATGGGGAAAAGGGGGTTCACCAAAAAAAGAGACACAAACGGGTTATAAATATGTGAAAATTTTTTTGATGTTACTATGTCATTTAAAGAAAGAGGGTGAAAATCACGAGATGGTATCCTTCAAGGGTCAGATTGGCAAAGACTGAGAAGCCTGATGGTACACGGAGTTCAGGGACAGCTTTGGGAGTAAATACTGGCGCGGCGTCTTTGGAAAGCAACCGGGGAGTATCTGTGCCAGGTTCAAACACCCAGCCTTCCATCCGGCCTGCCCTTTTGGAAAGTGCTCTCCCCACATAGGTTCACGAAGATGTAGGTTCGGACCCGTCTGCCACGGTGTTAGGGAAACACTGGCAGTGGCCCGGATGTCAGTCCGTAGGGGACTTGTTTCTCAGCTGGGCTCACGATGGAACACGATGGTCGTGACACAGCTTCCAAGGAGTCTGGGGCTTACTCCCGGCCACACACTTGCGAGAAATGAAAACACACGTCTGCAAACAGCCTCGTGCAGAGAGTTTAACAGCTTTATTCACGGTAGTCCCAAGCTGGAACACCCCGAAAGTCCACCCGAGGACAGTGGACACACCGCAGCTGATTCACACCACAGAGCTGCCCTCGGCAACAATCGCAAAGGAATGATTATCGGAAGCATTTTGTGCAGCAAATATGTCCGACATGAGCCAGGATGTACATTACGGTTCCATCTATAGGAAGTTCAGGGAGCAAATGGAGCCCATGGTGACAGGTGTCCGGGAACAGGGGTGGCCTGGGGGGGGGGGGGGGGGGGGTTGGGGAGGGGGGGGGAGAAGGGACTGGGGGGAGGTGGCGGTGGTTGTCACTTACAAGGTGCATACAGGTGCCTGAAACACTGAACGTTCCGCTCAAGATCCGTGCAAGTCCCCGAAATTCATGTTACATCGATTTAAAACAAGATCGACTCTCGGATTAAAAGATAAACTAGTTACAATTAATATGTCCTGAAATGGAATGATCTGCAAATAAATTAAGGGGAAGGGTGGAAACGAGGACAGACGCCACGTGCGAAGGCTCCCCGTGCGATGGAGAGGCAGAAGCTTGTGGATCTGGATGTTTCTGGGAAGACGCGGAAGATGCTGTCGGCAAACTCCCTCCCAGGTGGGGGCGGCTGGAGGCCTCGAGGTCTGTGTGGGAGGGACACCTCTCAACCCCGTTTTGCCCTGGGGGGCTTTCTTGGATGGGTTTGATGTTAACTTTTTAAAAAGACAAACACTATCCCAGCTTTCCCGGTTGGATAACAGCATTCCAAGACGGAATTCTGGAACTTCTTGACGCTGGAGAGCTGGAAGCAGGCCGTGCTTGGTGCAGGACGGCGACCAGACAGGGGCAGCCGCGACTCCGAGCGGGGACGGGGGCGTTCAGACACTCACACGAGGGAAGAGAGAGCCCGCCTCCTGAATCTGGACATCGAGGGAGAGAGAGCCGAGCCCCGAGGGCCAGGACTTCAGCCCCCGATGGCGAATGTGTGTGGATGATGACCTTGGAGGAATCCATTTATTTTCATTTTGAAAAGGAGCTTCCCTGGTGGGTTGGGAGACACAGCTTTTAAGAGGCTGTGGGACCAGAAGGAAGGAGCCCGTGGAAGACGGGTCGGAGCCAAGAAGAGGACCGCCTAGTGCGGCTTTAAACCAGACGGTCCCACACTTGGTCTGTTCTATGAGCAAGGGCATGGCCGTGTCCGTTCTGAGGACTGGACGGTGCCACTGATCTCCTTCCCTGCTTGGGACCCGGAGCAGACATCTCGCCATCTGTTCGTGGTGACAGCGTGTGAGGGGTGGTGGGAGGAGGGACTCCCCCTTCCCCCAAGGAAGGTCTCGGCTCCGCGGGACAGGGAAACACCCCAGTTCAGGGGTCGCGGATGAGGACCTTTGCAAGGCGCCCCAGGTCAGACCGCGGTCCTGGTCAGGACTGTGCTCAGCAAACCTTGGGCCCAGATGTCTGATCCGGGCGCCAGGAAGAGAGGACACGGAGTCTGAGGCGGATCCTCTTCACAAAACGTAAGAGGCAAAATATCGATGGGGAAGAGGTCTGAGAGGACTTCTAGCAAACGGCGGAGACCGGGGGGACCCGAGTACAACACTCCAGGCCAAGCCCTCCCAGGCTGCAGTAGCCCCAGACAGGGGCCCTTCCTGCTGGAAACTGAAGCCCAGAGACGGGCCTGGGGTGAGGGCAGCCCTTGAAAGGGCCAGAGTGCCAGACCCTGTTCATCACCAACCCAACAGCACCCCCACTGTTCTCCTGCCAGAACCCGGATTTTGTGATGGGTGGAAATCTCCCAATTTAAGGAAACACAAGCCCATTCCCTGAGCCCAGGAGACGAGTCCTGACCAGTCTTGTGATACACGCACCATGCTCGATGCTCGGTTTACCCTTTGTCAACGCCCAAGTGGGGCCGGTGACTCACGGAGGGCCGACCACAGGCCTGCTGAGAAGGTGCTCTCCCGACAAAAGGGGAAGACGCTGCGGGCCCCGTCACGCCCCTTCCTCCTGCCCGCGGTGCCCACGCGTGTGTGGCACAAGGCCAGCGTGTGGCCATGAAGGCATGGAGTGCACAGGAGCCCGGTGGCCCCAGAGGCCGTGTCCCTCTGACTCCCTGTCCCGACGATGTTGAACGCCCGCGTGGCTCAGGCTGCGGTCACCGCAGCCCAGCACCGTCCTGACCCGCTGTGAAGGTCAGAGCAGCTCCGGCGTCAGAAGTCGTGTGGCAACAGCCTGTGGTCAGTCTTCAGCCTGGGGGTCTCCTCCCCAGAAGCCCCCAGCCAGCTCGCTGCCGGCCTGGGGAAGCCCCACCCCTCCCCAGCCCCACCCCTCCCCAGCCCCACCCCTCCCCAGCCCCGCCACACAGGCCGCCTCGGTGACCTCAGTCACCACCACCAGGTATGCGCCCACTCGCCGCACGGATCGCTCGTTTCCTTTCCCACCACACGCACGGCGACCCGCTCCGGGTCAGCCAACGTCCCAGTGCTGGACCGGCAGCCAGCGCGGGTCCTCGGGGCGCCCTCCGCCGTGCACAGCAGGAGAGGGCCAGCCGGCTGGCCTTGGAGGGGACGGGCAGCCACCACCGCGCTCTCTCCAGCTGGACGCCCCCGGCAGTCCCAAGCCCACCTCTGAGGAGGCAGCTAGTTCGTCACTGTTCCTGGAGCAGGCAGGCCTTGGGGTGGACAGGCCGACCGTTCCCTGCAGGCCCCGTGGCACCGAGGCCCTTAGCGGCCGGCTGAGGAGCAGCGGACAGGAGGGTGGAAGGTCCGGTTAGAGCCGCGTGGCCGCTCACTCGGTGCGCGACTCTGGACATGTGACTTGGCCCCTCGGAGCCTCCGTGTCCTCGGAGGACCCACACAGGCCCATCTCACGAGGCCGCTGCAAGGACCCAGGGAGAGAGCCAGCGGGGGCACCAGGGACAGGAGTGGGCGGCGAGCCAGGGTTCGCTCAGGCACCTGCCCCCGTGGAAAGCCAGAGCTGGTGGCCCTCCTGGGGGAAGACACATGGGGCCGTGGGGAACCACCCACCCCGGGAGCCAGAGATGTCCCGGGTCCTCGAGAGCGTTTCCTTGAGTTCCCGACTTCCTGACTTCCCTGGCCCTGACCAACGCCATCGAGGAGCCTAATGTGCTCTCGCGACTGCTTCTCCTCCACAAAGGAAAGGAGGTTGGCAGGCGGGGATGGGTGTGTGTCATGTCACTGTTGGGGGTCCCCGTGGCCACTCGGCAAGCTTTGCCCGGGCCACTGCAGGTGCTGTCTGCTCAGGGGCCACCGGCACGGCTTGTTCCCCGCGAGCTCTGCTGTCACCGGGCCTGGCTGCTGAGGCCAGTCAGCCAAGGACGCCCATGCTCTGCCCGGACATGCTCCGACAGGCCCCTGCTCTCTGCAGGGATCAGCGGCGTCCACTCTGAGCCAGCAGGTGGGAGAGGACCCAGATACCCACTGGTGGCCCCAAAGGAGCCATTGCTGCCCAGACTTGGAGTGTGACCCCAGCTATGTGGGGTGGCCGGAGGGGCTGAGCCCTCGGGAGGAACAGGTGCGCTAGAGGGCCCCAGCCAAGGGGTCTGAGTGTCCGTCGGCCCAGGCAACAAAGGGTGTGCATGGAAGGACGGCGAAGGGGCCCAGACGTCCACTGAGAGGGACCGAGGGAGGGAGGGAAGCGGGTCAGCCAGCCGCGTGCTACAGGCAGTGGCCAGAAGTTCTCAGTCCAAATTCCTCGTCCTTCGGTGGTGGCACCGTGTCCCCATGACTCCAGGAGGCTCTGGAATTCCAGACATTGTGTCCCTGGCTGGGGTCGTCCTTTCCAGGAGCAGGAGAGCCGCCCGGAGGCAGCGCGAGGCCAGCTACAGGAGGCCCACCTCTCGCTTCCCTAGCTGGGATCTGATCTTCACCTTGATGACCTGGACGGAGCGAGTGGACACCAGAGCCCAGCTTGGGGCCAGCTGGCAGCCTGCGTCCTGGCCCCTCAGGAGCCCACCTGCCCTAGAAGTGATGGCAGGGCCCCCCGGGAAACACAGACACCCCCTGAGTCTCCGGCAAATCCCTCCACATCCTCCCAGCAGCTGCCCCTCCCCAGCTCTGAACCTGGGCCTGGGGGAGGAACCGACCCTTGGTGCGGTCTCCGTGGGGGTGTGGGCGTCGCCGGGTCACTCTGGGGAGGGAACCCCAGGGCTCTGTTGCAAGGTGTGCTGGAAGGCTCGGGGGTCCTCAGGAGGGCAGAGCGGGGTGGTGGGCCGTGCCGTGCGTCTGTCCCTAGGTCTCGATGTTGGTCACGTTAGCCCATTCAGGGAAATGATCCAAGTCAAAAATGACCCGTCCCCAGGTGTTCACCGCCAGAAACACGCAGAGGACTCCAATTACGTTCATCATGAGTCCCGTTTTCACCTGAGGAAAAGCAAGGTCAGCGTCAGCACCCACTGGGTAGGCCGGGTGGTCAGAACGAAGGTGACCGGGACACTGGGAGCCAGAGCCCTCGGAGGAGGGGGTCCTGTCCTTGGGCTGTGCTCCGCGCTCACCCCACCCCCAGACAGAACCAGGCGGGGTGGCAGGGGCTGCTCAGAGCCTCCAGGAAATGGGTGGGACAGGTGGGTCCTCCTGCCCAGGTGAGCACCGGGAAACAGCCCCAGGGAGGTGGCCCGAGGCCCCCAGCAGAAGCTCTACAGTAACTAACCCTTCACTTCCAGCCTCCCCCTCCTGTCACAGCCACAGCCAAAGGTGTGTGGGGGGTCCTCCTCTGTCTGCATCCGTCCCCACCCAAGGCGGTACCTGCTCCTGGGTAGTGGTCTCTGAGTCCCCCTCCCTGCTCCCGCCCCTCACCCATGCCCCTCCCGATGGGTGTCATGTGTTCTTGCTAGTTTGCAAAGCCCTTCCTGGCCCTGTGGGACAGCCCCCCTCACCCCTCCCAAGGTCTCGGTGAGGGCTTGGGAGCTCCCAGAACCCAGCTCTCAGCTCTGGGAGACAGAACAGTCTACGATACTCGAGATCATTTCCAAAGAGGAGCGAAGACGCTGATAAAGGCCAGCGAAGGCCACGGGACCAGCACGTCGCACGGCAGCAGGCGCCGTTGGTAAAGGGGGCACCCGCCCCTCACGACGGAGCATCCCCGCGGATGGGAGCGAGGGCAGGGCTGCATTACCATGTCCGAAACCTTGAGGTGTCCGTAAGCAAACACGATGGCATTGGGCGGGGTGGCCACAGGCAGCATGAAGGCAAAGGATGCGCTCAGCGTGCAGGGCAGCATGACGTAGAGCGGGTTGAGGCCGATGGAACGGGACTGGGGAGAAACACAGCACTGTGGGTCACAAATGGGCAGGGCAAAGGCTCCCAGGGCCTCTTCCTGAAAAGCGTTCCCCAAACGCCCTGTGTGCATTCCCAGCCCCAGGCCCTTTGTCCCTCTGGCCCCTCTACCCTTTGCCACGGGTCTGGATGATAATCGTGCTGGACTCTGAAGGCTGAACTCGGAGCCGCCTCCCAGGGAGGCCTTTCTTCCTTTCTTTCTTTTTATAAAGATTTTATTTATTTACTTGACAAACAGAGATCACAAGTAGGCAGAGAGGCAGGCAGAGAGAGAGAAGGAAGGAGGCTCCCCGCTGAGCAGAGAGCCCGATGCGGGGCTCGATCCCAGGACCCTGAGACCATGACCTGAGCTGAAGGCAGAGGCTTAACCCACTGAGCCACCCAGGCGCCCTCCAGGGAGGCCTTTCTGACGCTGCTCATTCATTCAGCATCTGTCTCCTGGCCACCCACTACGTGCCGGAGACCACACTGGCCGCTCAGCCTTGGGCCGTTCCCACAGCCCACGTGTGCGCCTGTCTGTCCGTCCTTTCCCAGACCTAGAAGGCCCGGATCTTCTTGCCTGTGGATGTACATTGTTCTTACACACACGGGGGATCGTTTTGCATATGGAATTGGGTATCCATCTGTTTTTACTCTGCAGCTTAAAATTCATCCACATCTCACAACCCCTAGTGCACAGCTGACATTCATTAAGCATCTGTTGAATGAATGAATGATGTAATTGCTATGTTCCGATTTCTATCAAAATTCACAATCCATCGTGCAGATGTACATGCGCACAAGGACAGACACACATGCAACATTCTAGCAGCAAAACACTCGGGAGACAGACCCAGCCATGTGCTCGGCGCCTCGGAAGCCGGTGGTTCAATAAAGCGGTTGTAGATGAGTATCGGCTCGCGGCCATGACTGTCCTGCTAGACGGGAAGATGCCAGAGAGGGGTTGGAGGAAAACAGAGTGAAGATGCAAAATGGGATGATACAACAATGCCGTTTGTCTAAAAACAATGTGCTTGTGTGCGTGCGCGCGTGTGTGTGAGGGCATGTGTAATACAATTGGAAAGATACCTAAGAAACTAATAATTGGGGACACCCGGGTGGCTCAGTGGGTTAAAGCCTTCAGCTCAGGTCATGGTCCCAGGGTCCTGGGATCGAGCCCCACATCGGGCTCTCTGCTCAGTGGGGAGCCTGCTTCTCCCTCTCTCTCTGCCTGCCTCTCTGCCTGCTTGTGATCTCTGTCTATCAAATAAATAAACAAAATCTTAAAGAAAGAGAAATTAATAATCGAAGTCGTCCCTAGGCGGGGAGGCTGGAGGGTCAGGGTCTGCACCCTCTGGGGTTATGGGCATTTATTATCCATGTGTGCACGATGTTTTCAACTTTAAATACCCTTCAAAACCGTGACTTCCCCCAATGCTTGACGGTGTCACAGCATGTGACTCCGTCTCCTCTCACCCATCCCCCGCGGCTATGACACCGTGTTTCTAATGGGTCTGGGATGTGCTGCTCTGTCTTAAAGGCCTATGAGCCCCTCTGATGAACTCCCTGAGCTACGTCCCCAGACATGAAACTGCTCAGTCCGAGGGCAGAAGCGGCTTCAGGTTATGGGTCCTGCAGGTAAACAGGTCTCGGGAAAGGCCACACCCAGGCTCATGCCCACTGGGAGGGGTTGAGAGGCGCCAGCAGGGCCCGGTCTCTCTCCTGAACCCCCTTTTGCCCTGGCCCTGGCCCTGCATGGCGTATGTCTCCCATGGGCCCCTGTGACCCGGCTGTGGTCGGGGGTCACCACCTGCCCCTCTCCTGCAGGTAGAGGCCGAGGAGAAGTTCCGGGGCCTCATGGGGCCGCCATGGACTCTGATTCTAGAGGAGCCTGTTTTCAAAGGGCCTGGGTGCGCCCTCAGGTGCAAACCACCATTGGTCCGGCTCTGGGCTGGACGGGACCACACCCGGCCTTTCCCGGGGTGCGGGGGAGGCCACACTGCTGGAGAGGGGGCGCCACACCACTTTCCCCTCCACTCAGAATGGGACCGGAAAACCGCTGGGTTTTCCTTCCGCTCTCGTGGATGTGGGGCGGCCGAGTGGGCACCTACCGGTTTGATGCTGAGCTGAGATGTCTGTGAGTCTAGCTCCCGACTCCACAGCGGCAACCACGGCCTCTCCCAGGCTCATGCCGCTGCCCACGGAGGACTCCCGTGGCCCCAAGCTCAGGTGGGAACTGAGGGGCCACATTTGAGGGCCCCTTGGGTCCTCCGAGCCCAGCCCCGGGCTCCTGCTGCACCACCCTGAGGCCGGGACCACGGGCAGCGAGGGGCAAAAGGAGAAGTTCCACCCCAGCTCCAACGCACGCTTGCCCGAAGCACAGAACTCCAGCCTGGCCCTCGGGTCCCCTCCGCACCACCCACTTCCTCTGGGCCCAGCGCCCTGGGCTACTGAATCTTCCCTGAAAGTCCTCTGCCTCCTACCATCCCCAAGACCCTGTTTCCCGGGACTTCCTCCCGGTGGGCTCCAGCCAGCAGCGGCCCTGCTCAGCTACCCACCCGCGTGCCCCGAGCCACATACCCCAGACCCCTCCTTGCTGCGGATCCTGTCTCCTCAGCTTGAGACATAACCAGCCACATTTACACGTGATCCTAGAGGGCCTGGTTCTTGCCTTGCACGTTGGTGAGCATGGGGGGTACAAAGAAGGACCTCGAAGCGTGGCTGGGCTCTGGCCCCCCCATCTCACTGTCCCTCTGGGGACCCAGGAGATGGTCACAGGTTGACGGCTTCCCGTGACATGACGGCTAAGGGTCATCTCCCCGGCAGATCACTTACCATGGAGGCAAAGATGGGCAGGAACAGGGTTGTGGTGGCCACATTGCTTGTGCATTCAGTGAACACGGCGACGAGCAGGGACAGGATCAAGGTGACGGCTGCGGGGGGCACAGAGCGCAAGGGCTCCATCTGCTTCCCCATCCATTCAGACAGCCCTGAGGCCTGGGAAGCAGGGAGAGCAGTCACCGAGGGCTGGGAGCGACCCTGGTCCTTCCCCAGGGAGCTCAGCCTCTCCTGCACTTCCGACTCCATCCCTCACCTCTCTCTCCTAGGGCTGTTTCCAGCTCGGCCAGTCCACGAACTGAATGTTAGCCCAGAGTCACACTCAACATGCCCCAGCCTGAATTCCTCCTCTCTGACCCAGGGTCTACTCCCCGGGGCTCCCCACCCACCTGCTGTCCAACCCGGGGGGCCGGGTGCCACCCTAAAGGCCCTGTCCCCCTTTCTTTGATCGTCACGCAGCCCCTGGTCACCCAGAGTGGCTCAGCACCTCTCAGCCCCTGTAGCTCTTTGTGCTCGGGAAAGGGATCTGAGCCAGGAGCGCGTGGTTCGGGGAGCCCAGTGCTGAGACGGAGTCAGACGGAGGTGCTGAACACAGACTTGACCTCGCTCAGCCCCTCCCTGCCTGGGCCCCACTGCACACGAGGGAGGAGATCCAACAGTACGGGTCTGACCGAGTCACTGGCCTCCACCCTTCAGTGGCTGCCCGCTGAGCGCAGTCCCCCACCCCCTTATCTTGGCTCTCAGCCCAGCGGCTTCTCCGAGCCACACTGGCCGTGTCCCCCGCGGCTCCTGAGGGAGGCACCCTACGCCCCCTCCTCACCCAGGTGTCTGTCTTCCCGACATGCTCTTCCAGATATGGCCGCTCTGCAGGCCGCAAAGGCCTCAGAGCGGAAGCATGATCAACCGCATCTGTCGTTCCCAGGCCCGATGTCACACAGACATGACAGGGATGCTCAGTGAACGGGTGACCCAGGCCTGATGTCACACGGACATGACAGAGATGCTCGGTGAACGGATGAGTGAGTGAGTGAATGGCGATGGACGGACGGACGACTGGATGGAGAGGTGACCAGACAGACAGATTTATTCATCGAGGAGATACTCATGCTCTGTCGGTCACTGGGCTCCCCTCTAGATGCTGAAGGAACAGCAGAAACAAGATGGGCCCCGTCTGTCTCTGACCTTCGACTTCTGGGTGGGTGAATGGATGGATAAGCACACAGACAAATGGTTGGAGGGTGGGTCAGATGGATGGACAGACAGAAGGATGGGTGGAATGACGGATCCACCAATGGAAGGATGGGTACCAGGATGGATGTGGGATACAGCACCAAGGGGGCTCATCTCTCTACCTCACTTCTTTTATATTGAGGAAGGAGGGAAGTGAGAAAGTTATATTTGGGGATGTTTTCTCCCAAAAGCTGACCCTCCCCTTCTGTGCTGCTCTATACCTAGATAGAGAAAATGTTATTTACTTTTTTAAAAGATTTTATTTTATTTATTTGACAGAGAGAGAGAGAGATCACAAGTAGGCAGAGAGGCAGGCAGAGAGAGACGGGAGGGAAGGAGGCTCCCCACCGAGTAGAGAGCCCGACGTGGGGCTCGATCCCAGGACCCTGGGATCATGACCTGAGCCAAAGGCAGAGGCTTAACCCACTTAGCCACCCAGGTGCCCCAAGAAAATTTTTTTTAGATAGAGAAAAAATGCTTATTTTTTTAAAAAATATTTTATTTATTTATTTGAGAGAGAATGAGAGAGATCACAGAAGGAGAGGGGGAAGCAGACTCCCCACCAAACAGGGGCCCCACGCAGGGCTCCATCCAAAGACCCCGGGATCATGACCCGAGCCTAAGGCAGAGACTCAATCGACTGAGCCCCGCAGAGGCCCGAGAGAAAACATGCTTAAATGTCAGCCGTGCAATCAAAGAGTTCAGTGAGTGGAAGAACAAGACGGTGGGAAGAGACACGGGTCACTGTTGCCAAACCCCAGAGAAGACCTCACAGCGTCCTCCGCCGCTCTTAGCTGGCATGCCCTGACCACTTATTCTCCCACCGCTGCGACTGCTCAGAGCACTTTCTCTATGCAGGTCCGTCCATCCATCCATCCGTCCACCCATCCACTCCTTGGTGTCAAGAGGGTCCCTGTCCTCAAGACACCTGTGGCTCTCTGGAGCAGACAGACGTAGAGCCAGTGCCCACAGAGCCAGGGTGTGAGTGGAGGGACAGAGTTCCCGACATCCTCTGGCACAAGAGGGCCGGGCAGCCTGCAGCGGGGGCTTACCTCACATCCTTTGGCCAGGGCAAAGCCGCCCCCCAGCAACAACACGATGCCCCAGGGCACTTTCTCCTGGGTCACCTTCCAGGTCAGCAGCGCAGGGGGGTAAAACGGAGCTTTCCTTTCTGAGGAGAAACCATAAAACACACACACACGACCCAGAGCTGCATTAGGAAACAAGAGATCTACTCAAGGGAAATCACAGCCCATGAGCACAATGGCACGCTCTCCTATCCATAAATCAGCTAAAACCCACAACAATCACAATACCCGTTGCTGGTGAAGATGTGGTAGAAATGTCACACACTCCTGCAGGCATAGAAACTGGCAAAATCTTTCTGAAAAGCCATTCGGTGACACACTTAAGAGCCGTTAAGACATATATACTCTTACGGCAACATTGCTCCTGGAAATTTATCCCAAGGAAACACCCTGAAGGAAAAAGCTACATACATGAAAACACTCATTTCTAATTGTGAAAAATTAAAAACAATCACAATGTTTCGTAAGAGGAGAACAGCACAGCCCCTCGCAACCATGCTGTTATTAGAGAAAATAAAGTCGGAGGCTGTGTCTTTAACAGGACATGTTCCCAGCGTAAAAACACAAAAACCCGCAGGACAGAAAACCAGAATTCGAGCTGAGTGTGTGTGTGTGTGTGTGTGTGTGTGTGTGTGTGAGAATCACAGCCATGTATACACACGCATCCTAGCAAAGACCGGAAAGGAGAAACCAAAATACACTGATGGCTTTGAGGGAAATTGGAAACATTCTTCTGTTCCTGTTGTAACATCGATAAGATTTCTGACATATAAAGAGCACAGGAGAAGAGGGCTTGCAAAGGACAGTCCCTGGGGAGGGGCTGACAAACACACACCCCCCACACACACACCCCCACCACCCCACCCCACCCCCGAAGTAGCCTCCGGCCAGGCCTCTCCGCCCAGGCGGTGCCCTCCCTCGGGGCCCCACCCTGATGAGTGTCAGGTGGGGCGGAGCCTTACCCTCCTCGGTCTGGCCTCGGAAGCTAAACTGGGGCTTCTGCGAAGGCACGACGAACAGCAAGGTGGCCACGAAAGTGGCCACGGTGGCGTCAGACACGTACCTATAGGGGACAGCACACAGGACGTGCCCGGCCAACTTCGGGGCTGCCACCCAGCAAACCCGCTCTGTGTGCACAGGCGCACTGAGTGCACAGGCGCACTGAGTGCGCGGACTGGGCCTCGAGGGCCAGCAGCAAGAGAGCCACACGGACGGAACCGCAGCTGGAAGCCAGGACAGCCTCATCTCAGCCCGGCTCTGCCCCCGGCGGGGTGACCCCGTGCAGCTCACTGCCCTCTCGGTCCATGGGGCTCCTGGGGCGAGCACGGTGACGGGTCCTTATCAGACGGCCTAGAATCCCGTGCTCCCCAGGGCACCTGCCAGGGCCCGGCTGCCAACCCCAGCAGACCTTCCTGAGCTACATGTGCAACATCGGGAACCCCCGCCCAAGGTTCCGTCCGGGAACCTTGCTTCCTTCTGACCACAGGACAGCTCGGCCTGGAGGGAAGGTGCACACGCCCTCCCCGCCAGGTCTCTGCAGAGGCCCAGCCCGACATCCACCTGTTTCTGCCTCCTCGGCCCCTCCTAGCCCTCCAACGGCCCCTCTGCTCCCACCGTCCTGGCTGTCCCTCTCTCCTCTTGCTTCCCCAGCCCTGAGACCCCGTCTGTCTTCAGAGGGAGGACAGATGGCAGAGCAGAGGTTTGAAAGCCAGAACTCCTGGCTGAGCAAATCTCTCCCTGTCAGAGCCGGGCCACCCTGCCTGGCCACAGGGACCCATCTGCGGGCCTGTCATGAGGGCTGGGGAGGAGAAATCGAGGGGCAGAACTCACCGGGGGTGAGGGAGCCCGTGACTTACTTCGTCTCGCCCTCCTCCCAGGCCAGCGACACCCAGCCAGGCATGAAGCCGGGGTCCCGGGAGAACCACAGGCCGACCAGCAGGACGAAGCAGAGCAGGACGTTGGCCTCGGCGAAGGAGAAGGGCCCCAGCTTCCTGTACTCCTCCCGCAGCACCTCGTAAGCGGCCTTCTCGTGGTTCCTGCTCTCCAGCCCACAGCCCCAGGACTTCTTGAAACTAAAGATGCAGGGATGAGAAGCCCGTGAGGCAGGCTGGGTGGCTCAGGGCCGGCCAGCCGGTCAGATGGAAGGCCAGACGCTGGGCAGCAGGACGTGGCGGAAGGCACACGGTGCAGCCTCGAGCAAGCCCCTACCCCAGGCCTACTTCCATCCCCTGCCAGCCTTGCCCCACAGAACCCGGTGGGGGCAGGCTCTGCGATGTGTGCCCAGCACATGGCCCAGGGGACTCTCGAATGACAGGGCCTTCCACAGCGGTCGGAGGGCACAGGTGGGCGGCCAGGCTGGATGGGATGTCAGGGCAGTGGATGCCAAGGGGCCGTGGGAGGGGTGGGAGGAGGCAGAAATAGGCAGAGTTGGGGCCGCCCCGGTAAGGGGGACGTGGCAGGTGCCTGGTCACCTGGGAACCAGCGGCTTCTGCCATTTGGGGGATGAACGGGGAAAATTCTGGAGCCAGCTCTGGCAGGGGTCTTCCTCACCCAGGGGTGGTCCCACCGGGGCCCCGGGGCTGAGATGCCAGGCCCCATCATGGGGTCTGCGGGGGGGCTCACGAGGACACGGAGAACAAGGACGGGTCTAAGTGGCCAGGGCCAAGGAGAAGCAGGGTGGGAGCTCGTGGTTAGAGGGGCACAGGTGTCGGGTGGCTCTGCTCTTGGGGGCTCCCTGGGAACCAGAGGCCACAGCCACCCACAACCTGCCTGGGGCGCCCAGCAGGACCTCCAGGGTGTGCTGGCGCGAGGGATAGGGAGGGAGAGGGGTCCGTGGACAGGTGCTGAGGGTGCCCTGGCCATGGGGAGGGGCAGACCAGGGCCATTGGTGCCCTGGGTTCAGGCCTGTGGGATTGTCCAGCCCCAGGCTGCCTGAAGGCCAAGAGAATTGGCCCCGTGGCAGTCCCTCTTGGACCCTGGGGCAGACTTCACGGGAGGGCAGGGGTCCAGCCCATTAGCAAAGTTGGGTACAGGCCTGCGGTAGCGTCCCATTAGTCCTCGGGGGCCCGTGATCCTGTGGCCGGATGTGGCCTCTGAGGCCATCTGTGAGCTCAGGAAGGTAGTTTTCCTGGACGAGGCTGGAGGCAGCCACCTTGATGTTGCCCAGATGAGGGACTCGAGTGGGAGAGAAAGGGCGCCCCCCACCGCTGAGGCAGGTGCTGCCTCTACAAGGCCTGGCAGCAGGGGTCACCGGGGCCGGGATGTGGCAGGCGTGGCCTGGGCCCACGAGCATCCGTCGCTTCTCCCCTTGTTCCAGGCGTCCTGGGGGCTGCCCCCCCCGACCATGCTCTTAGTTGGGTCAGCAAGGGTCCCTGAGCTGGCGTGGCCGGTTGACCGTGGCCACAGGCGGGCTCCCCCATCAGAAGGCCGGCAGGGGCCACACCAGAGGCCACGGCTGGGTCTCCTGATGGCGAGACCCCCGGAGGCTGGTCGTACCCCAGTGGCCTTGGGTCCCTGCAGGGAGCTCAGTGGGCCTCGGGGCAGTCGAAGGCAGCAGGCCTCCATCTCCCCAAGAGGGAACCTTTATGGATGGAACTGTGTCCCCCATGGTCACAGGTTGAAACCCTGACCCCCCAGTGTGACGGCATCAGGAGGTGAGACTTTCACAGGTAATTAGGTACAGATGAGGTCCTGAGCCGGGGGCCCTGAGGGGACTGATGGGCACAGGCCACTGGGTGTGGGTTTGCAAAGGGGATGAGCATCTCCATAGCTGCTTTGACCCACCCCCACGCGTCCCCCCAGGGGCCGGGAGCCAGGCTGGGTGCAGGGACAGAGAGGGACCGCCACAGCTGCTGGAGGAGCTCAGGTCCCAGGAAGGCTGGCGCCAGCACTGGCCAGAGGGAAGCCCGGGGACCGAGTGAATAGCTCGTCCCAAACAGAGCTGGGGTCGCAAAGTGGGGCACGGTTTCCCTGCGGGGGGACCCACATCGGAGCTGGCCCTGCAGCCCGGTGGTAGGAAGGCGGAAAGGTAGGGAATGTACGTCCCGCAAGAAGGACGGCGGGTGGAGCTGGGTGGCAGGAGCCTGGAGGAGTGGCCTGGGGCCAGGGCTGGGGGGGGGGGGGGGCACGGCTGCCGCTCGCACTCACCTCAGCCTCATGTACACGCACTGGAGCCACAGCCAAGCCAGCAGCAGCATCACCAGCATGTTGGGGAAGGCAAACCCGAACCAAGAGGCGAAGTTCACCAGGTCTTTGCTGGCGGGGAACAGCCTGAATGAAGAGAGAGACGCTGGTCCCTCCTCCATGGCAGGGGCCCCGCCACACTCAGGACAGGCCTGGGGAGTGGCCGACCGCCCCACCTGCAGAGCCAGACCCCACTGGGGGCCCCGCCTGAGTCAGGGCCCATCTATGCCAAAATAACACCCCTTGTGCTCACGGAAATGGAGCAAGAGCTTCAGGGCTCCCGGACGCCTCAGAGCCCGCTCTGCATGGGAGAGAGGGAGTTTCCAGAGCTCCCCGGGCCGGGCCGGGGTGGGGGTCCCTTCTCTGGGGCTGGTGAAGGGTCCCCACGCGGCAGGCCCTGCCCTCCAGCTCCAGGGGCAGGTTCTTTGGCCTGGCCGGCAGGCATGAAAACAGACACAGCCTTCCCCATGCTGCCCTGGCGGATGTCAGGGAGAACCGTGGGCTATCATTACAGCAAGTGCTCTCAAGATCCAAACCGCCTGCGTGTTAGACCTCAAGTGTCTGCGGGCCGGGCTCCTTCCCACCGCCCAACGACCCGCCTGCCTGGTCCAGGGCTCTTCCCACCGCCCAGCGGCCCCGCCTGCCTGGTCCAGGGCTCCCCTCTGCGTGGGAACCCTCATGCCGCCTGCCCAGGACCCCGCATCAGCTGCTGTCCACGGACGGGGCTGGCCTCCCTGTGATCCCAGCACCGCCTGCCCACGGTCTGTGTCCCTCTGTGGTTCGGGGAAGGCACAGACAGGCCCTGTGATCCCCCTGGGGCCCCCAAGGGCACGCGGAGGCAACATGTAACCTGACCCCTAGCCCTTCGCTGACACCATAGGGCAGCACTGTTCACAGGACCAGCGTGCGGCCCCACGCGTTCATCTCCCAGGACGTCAGCTCCGTGCTGGGTGCACATTCTCTCTCGGGGCGAGTGTCGGCGAAGCAAGGCAGGACTCACCCTCGCCCCCCACCCCAGCAGAAGGCCAGCAGTTTGTGGGGTCCTGGGCAGGTGCAGGCCCGCAGCAGGAGGGAAAGATGGGAGTGCCCCCGCCCCGGGCCCTCCTCACGTCCCCTGAAGGCATGCCCACGACTCACTCGTGCATCTGTCCCAGAAGCACCACGTTGGGTCCCGTGCCCGTCAGCGTGGCGGTGCCCCCGATGCTGGCCGCGTAGCACACGCACAGAGTCATGGCCTTGCACAAGCTCCTCCTGTCGCCGTCAGACCGCCGGCCCTCAGGGGGGCCCTCGAAGGTCACTTGGCTCCCTGTGGGGGGCACACTGTGGGATGAGGCGGTGCGGGCCCCGCACTCCAGCTCCCAACCCTGCCCCAACCTGAGGCTGGGACAGGCCAGTCTGCCGGGAGCCCCGCGGGTCAGCCCCCAGCCCCCACGCTGTGCACCCACCTCCTTCTCTGGCCCGCCAGGTTCCCCACACATCCAGCCATGCAGACCCATGCCCTCCCCTCCCATCACCCTGTCCCTGTTCCCGCTGGTCCCTCCACCGGGGGCCGGGGGGAGGGGTCCAGATCCCCCTCACGGGCTCTCTCCCCCGGCAAGTCCTGTCCCCCTCCTGGCGCCCTCGGTGTCTGGCTGAGGCACCCCCAAGTCAGATGAGCTGTATCAGGAGACTCTGGACCTGGCCTGCTGGGCTGCACGGTCCCCAGCCCACTGCGTCTCCGTGCTGAGCGCAGCCCCAGGGATGGGGTGTGAACGTGGCGGGGAGTAAAGAGGCACTCTCTGACCTCCCTGAGCTCGGGGTCTCGTCGGGATGCCAACATGGGGCCCCCTCGACCCCTGTGGGAGTGGCAAGCAGAGGGCGCCCCGAACGGGAGCAAGCATGGAAGGGGTGAGGGGCACCCTCACTGGAGGGTCCCCAACGATCAATCCGGTGACAGCTCCGGTTCCAGCCGTTGGCAGAAACCACACAGGGGGTCTTGCCGTAAGCGCGACCTGAGCTCTGACTTTTATGCAATAGTCACATTCCTAAAACTTACAGAAGCAGCATTTCCTGAGCGTTCTCCTGTTTAAGGCAACGGATAGGACAGCCGCCCGCATGGGTGCCCGCCGCGTGGGCTGGGGACCCACCTGGCAGCGTGCCCGCCTTGCCCTTGTCTGCCAGCTCCAGGGCTCCCCGGCCGGCCTCGGCGGCGGCGGCGGCGGCCTCCATCTGCTGCAGCACGGCCTCCACGATGGGCACCATCATGGCTGTGGTGGCCGTGTTGCTGATCCACATGGACAGAAAGGCTGTGGCGCCCATGAAGCCCAGCATCAGCCTGCAGAGGAGAGGCGGGGAGGACTCCGGACAGTCCCAGCCCCTCTGCCCGCAGCCCCCAGGGAGCCACGGGGGGGGGGTGTGGGGGAGGCTGGGACCCCTGCGGGGATGCCTGGGGCAGCACCAGCTCAAGACTGGGTTGTGGGGGAGGGGAGTACAACATGGGGCCTTGCCCCCGCCCCGCCTCACCCCTACAAACATCACTGATGTCCCCGGCTGGCCACTGGGCACTGAGAGAACGGAGACCCAGGCACAGCTGTAAGGAGCTCCCACCTGGCAAGGGAGAGCTGTCCCCAGGGCAGTCAGGGAGCCATGGAAGGGGCCTGGGGAAGCGGGACTTCCCTCCGGGGTGACCCCCACTTCCCCACACGCACTTTGCCCCCTCCCTGTGGCAGGAGACGGGGTCCACAAACTGTTCAGAAACATGCTTCCTTCACTTGTAACACCTCATCTCCCCCAGGGTCCACCTCCATCACCCACGAGACATGAACTCCTTGTGGCCTTCAGACATGAGCCCCTTCTCTGTGGCCCCCCTCCCAGTGCATGGCAGCTAGGGCTGAGCACACCCGCCTGCACCCTCCCTCGGACGGAGGGAGGAACTGATTCCACGTCCACTCCCTCCTTCAGCCATGAGCTGGGGAAGGGCCTGATTCTGCTCCATGGTCTCTGTGCCCACAGGGGCCCAAGATCACCGGTCGGCCTGGAAGGGGTCCAGGGCTGCGCACTGCACCTCACGGACCCATAAGATCAAAGGCTGGGACCCAGGCCAGGAGGAAAGCCTGAGTTTGTGTGAATGAATGACACAGCACTTCACGGCCCCCGGGGGCTCAACTACAACCCCCCCCCCACCCCCAGGACGTCTGGAGCTGAGGTCACGAGAGGAGCCGAGGGCAGAAGGAACAGAGCAGCGCGTGCGACCCTCCTCGATTCGGAGCCGAATGTGAGCGGCTCTCCAGAATGAGGCCCACCCTGACAGAGAGGAGACATCAAGGACCCCGAGGAGTAGAACGCTGACGCCCCTGAGGTCTTGAATCTCTAGAACTCGCAATGGTTCTTTGTCCGCGCCTGTAAACCATTCGTGGTCTGAGGCCACGGTGTGTAACAGATCAGGGAGTCACAAGCCCTCCACCCGAGGGCTCTGGCCGTGGTCCACTGGAAGGGCCACAGCGTGCGTGTGCTCCCGGCCCGGCCCGGCGGCACAGACCCCGGCACATGGCCATCCCGGGAGGAATCCTTGGTGAAGTCACCCCCTGCTGCCTCCCAAGGAGCAGCTGGGGACATGCCATCACCGATGGTGCACACTGCCCACAAAGAAAGGTGCAGTCCGAGTCCCCAGTGAGAGGGGCAAGGCTGAGACCCCCCCGGTCTGATCCCCGTGTGGCCACCAGCAGGTTATTCAGCCTGTCCCTTCCTCCGCTCCAGAACAGGGTGGCAGGGACAGCACCCCCCCATCTGGGTAAAGTGCTCTGTCTGCTTGGGGCCCTGGTTGGGCCCCAATCGACTCCATGGGCTAGCTGGAAGCGGCCTGTGGTGGGCAGGGGAGGTCTTGCAGAGCCATGAGTGATGTGGGGGAAGGTAAGGCAATGGCTTCTTTGCGGGGGGGGGGGGTGGTATACACACACCAGCTTTGGGGGGGGATGACCTTTCTGTTTCCTGAGCTGAATTGCTGAGACATCCCTTTCCTGCTTTCCCCACAAAACCCCTAGGGGTTTCAGGCAGGGCTTGATCCAGCCTCTGCCCGCCTTGTTTCCTGTGGAACACGCAGCCCCGCCTCCAGAGTCTCCCCTGCAGTCAAAGAGCCCTTAGTCACCACTGCTCACTCGCCCCCTCTGGTCACCCAGCTAAGACGGTCACGTGCTCATCCAGGGGGCCACCTGCCTGCCACGCCCAGGAAAGCCCATGGCCAGGGCTGGCCTGTGGGTGATGGGGACTGAGCCACACAGCCCCTGCCCGGGGCCAGAGCAAGAAGGGTGCTCACTGTGCAGGCTTGGCCCCCACCCAGAGGAGCGTCCGCAGGGCTATCCTCTTGTGCAGGTTCCAGCGCTCCACAGCCACCGCCATGATGAGACCACCCAGGAACAGCATGTTTGTGTCCTTCATGTACTGGACACACACCTGGGGGGCAGCACGGGGCCAGTCAGGGCAGCCCTGGGCCCCCAGTCCTCGAGACGGGTACGCCAACCAGATGCTGACCCAGACCAGGTGCTGACCCCAAATCTGGTCCCGACTCCAGGGGCCACTTGGAGGGGGGAGGGGAGGTCACGTGGTCTGTGTCCATGCCGGACGGACAGGTTCCCCCGCGGCCCAGGCAGTTCCAAGAGGGGCTTGGAGGGTGCCCCATGGTGGGGATGCAGGAAGACCCCCAGGGCTGCTCACCTGCTTGGAGTCCAGAATCTTTAAGAGCGGGAAGAGCAAGGCGGGCATGAGGGAGGTGACTGCCAGAGGGATGACCTCGGTGCACCAGTAGACGGCCATGAGGATGATGACGTAGGCACACCTGACAAACTGAGGAGACGGCCCTGAGACCTCGCCGGCTGGCGTCCCCCTTCCCACCGCAGCGTGCTGGGGTGGGGGGACGGCCGTGGGCAGTGGCGACATCAGAGGGACCATCCGTGGCTCAGACCCCGAGGAGCCCCAGGACCCACAGACAAGGGCCTCCTGCCCCTGCCTTCCTGCCGAGGTGCTCAGCCAGCCCTTGTGCCTCCCCAGAGAGAGCAGGAGAGGAGGGGGAAGAGATCAGTCCCGAGCTCCCACACTTCCGATGGCCCCCCTGGCACTTCTCCCACCCTATCGGGAGCAGAAGCCGTTATGCACCCATAGGAGTCATGCTTAGGATGCTGAGTTTGCATCTTTCCCTGGGCTCTCCGCGTGGGCGCAGTGTCCCCGTGGCGCTGGGCGGCTGCATACCCTCTGGGCCAACAGCATCCACACAGCCCTCCTTTTGTCCCTCTCGGTCAAGACTCCCCCGGCGTGGAGGCTTAGGCACCACAAAGGCTGACGTGAGGGTCCTGGGCACTGCCGTGAGGCCCGCTGGGTCAGGCGTGTTTCGTGCACAGCGGATCTACTGAGACGCAGCCCGTCTAAGTCCCAGCAGATCTGCACGATCTTTAACAACACCTGACCATCCTCACAGCTGCAAACACTCCAGACTGGGCAGGAGCTTCTCCTTCCCCTCTGGTGTCCCGCAGGGGAGCTAGTGGCCTTCTCTGCCATCCCTGGGGGCTGGGATCCCCCAGCTTCTCTGCTCACCTATGTTGAGGGGTCTCCACAAAGCTCCAGCAACTGCTTCTACCCCATTTCCTTCTCCAGAGGCTGCCCCGAGTCCCTGCAAACCAGCTCATTCAGAAACCGCCGGTCCCGTGACTCCAGGGTTATGGGGAGAGCGGAGAGGATGAGGATGGTACTGCGTGTTTCCATCAGCATCTCTGCTCACAAAGGCCTGGTGCTCTCCCGTTGGTGTTCAATCTTGGGTAAGCTGCCTCTCCCTGCCCTTTGGCCATGGAGATACTGGGACCTTGGCTTTGCCATGAGGCTGACCCGGTCCCCGTGTGAGCCCGCAGCTGGCCCCTTGCTAGCTGTGGGACTTTGGGTTCGTGGTGTAAATTCTTCGGTCCTGAGTCATTGCCTCTGGGGACGTGGATGGTGTCACCCATCTCCCTAGAACCCCAGCGTGTTCAATGGCAGCATCAGTGCCCACCCAGACTGGCCTCTCCCTCCTCCCAGCCCCGTGGCCAGATCAGCCGCCAACACCCACAGCTCCTACCTCCGACTCTCCAGCACCTTCCCCTCACATCTCCACCGCGCCCACCACACCTCGCACCTGGGACCTCCCAATCTGACCTCCCCACGTCCAGCACCGCGTGCTTCCCTCTTTCAATCTGCAGATCTGTTCAGAAGGACCTGAGGCCTCTGTTGCCCTCAGGACCAACCCCAAATGCCTCAGCATGACTTGGGAGACCCTCTGCTAGGAGCGGGTGCACACAGACCTGTCCAGCCACCCCCCCCCCCCCCCCCTGGCCCCTGAGTTCCCGCCCCCTGTGGCAGGGCCAGAGGCTGGGTTCTCGGTCACAAGCGCTTTGGCGCACGCAGCCCCTGAACTGGAGGGAGCGCCAGCAGTGGGCTCCGCGTTTCTCCTCGCCCACGCCCACAGCCTGGCTCTGTGCCCCCAGCAGTTCCCACCCTGAGGGCCGCCCCTGCCTGGCCCCCACCCAGCACAACACCCAACACTGAACAACCAGCGAGAACCCGTGGTGCCGGCTTCACTCTGTCCTGGGCATGCAGCACTGGCCTGAAACCCTGCTTCAGCCTCCCAGGAGCGCCCAGGGCACCTGCCCCGTGTCCACACCTGACATCCCGTCACTGATGGTTCTGCAGGGGGCGGGAGCGGCTGGAGCAGGGCTGGGTGCCGCCCCCTGGCCCCTGCCCCACGAGTCACGCCAGGACAACCTTCTCCAGCTGTGACCATACGAAGCAACTCCAGACTTTACTCCCCCAACTCTCTGCCCCAGCCCCCTGCTGCCTTGCTCCCTCAAGAGCTCCCGTTGACACACCGTGTACTGAAAGGGCTTGGTGACCTTCACCCTCTAAACTGAGAAATGGTTGCCCGTGTCACCAGTTTTCACGGCGAGGTTCCTGGAGGCGCCCCACGTAGGCAGCTGGGAATGTGTCTGGAAGGGCGCTTAGGGCCGAGAGGGAGGCGGGCTTGGGATTTACGGGGGGGATCCGGCATCTAGCACCGCCCAACAGCTATACCTTCAGTGCACAACCGAATAAAACCGTGGCTCATTATTTATGTAATTATTAATAAACAAGTGTCCAGGACACAGTCCTTCGAGAAAATGTGGCTGAGGGAGCCTATCTGTGTGTGGGTGTGAGTTAGGGCATTTGCGGGCGTTTTCATTTTTACTCTATGCTTCACAGACCTTGAAAATGAGGATTTTTAAATAATTTTAATAAAATAAGCAATACGGTGAATGCATTGTCTATCTTAGCAAAGAGTGATCTTTTAAAGAAAAGACCCAGAGAAAAGGCAGGTTAAGTGATACAGGGACAAAGCCAGCCAGGGAGCAAGGTGCGGTAAGAGGAGAGGTGGGAGGGGAGGGGGAAGGGGGGCGCCCCAGCAGGGGTGGCAGCACCGGGAGCCGCTGCCCCCTGGGTCCGTTGGTCAGTGCCTCCCACGCTGCCAAGAGCCCGCTGGCTTCCTGGAAGCCCTGCCTCATGCCGGGTACCTCCGGGTTTCCTCGCACAACGGTGCAGCTGGCCGTGGGGGTGTAGGCGGGAGCTCTTTGGTAGTGACCCCAACAAAAGGCACAGAGCCGAGAACACAAGACACAGGGGTGCAGCCGCCCAGAGGGAAGCACCTGATGGCCACCACTGAACGACTCCCCGTCCCCCAACTCCGTCTCTCTGTCCCTGGCCTGCTCCTCACTCCCAGGGCAGGTTTCTGACCCGCACACACACCCTGAGGTGAGGGTCCTGGCTCAGGACCCACCTGCATGCATGTGCACAGGTATGTAGAGGGGTGCGTGTGTGAGGGCGGGAGTGGGGTCCCGGCCATGCAGGAAGGTCCGCCAAGCCACCATCGTTATCCCAGGCAACACCGCTCCCTGCCAGGAGAACTCAGACCAGCTCTCCTGCCTGAGACCGTCCCTTTCCGCAGGGAAACAGGGCTGCTCGGTGCTGGGACGGCAGCGGGGAGGGGGCCCACAGCTAGACCTGCTGTCCCTGGCTCCACCAGGGCCCTCCCAGCCTTCCTTCCCCATCCTAGGAGCTGGCATTATCACTTCTGGCACCCAGAGTCGTCAAGAGTGGGAGCCACACCCCCTTGCCCATTGCACAGATGAGAACACCAAGGCCCAGAAAGCGCAGGGTGGAGGGTGAATGGGGGAAGCACGGTTCTCACGCAGGTGGGCTTCCTGACACCCCCACCCCCGCCCAGCTCTCCCTCCCACAGGACTGCCCGCAGAGCGTCCCCTCAAGAGCTCCTCTGTTTCCCAAACCTGCCGGGTGGCAGGGGGGTGCCGGAGGCTTCCTGTCTGGGCTCAGAGAGAAGGCGCTGAAAGAGGGAAGGAGGAAGGAGCAGCCAGCAGCCACAAAAGGCTTCAAAGGGCTCGGGCCTCTGCCAAACGGGCTTCCACAGCCCGGCCTAGCCCAGCCTGGCCAGCCGGGGCCTGGGCTCCCGGCCCCGCCCCCGCCTTGCGGCCAAGGCCATTCATCCTCTGCCTCCCTCCCGGGAGCGCTGGGCAGCCGGGTGAGGGACGCGGCTTCCCCTGCCTTCCTGGGTCGTGCCACCCAAGGCGCAAGCCTGGGAATGCGTCTGCCTCCTGCCTGGCCCCTGCAGGCCGCGGCCTGAGAAGGCCAACTCGGTCTGCCTTTCAGCTGAGAGAGGATTTGAACTCCGCTGTGCCTTCCAGGGCTTGGGAGCTGGCAAGAAATGTAGATCATGGATGGGGAAACTGAGGCTCCGGAGGAGGCCAGGGAGTGGAAGGGACAGCCCTCGGGACCCCCTTAGGAGATGATCTTTCTGTATGGGTCCTTGACTGACCTGGGAAGCCACCCACAGCTAAGTCCTCGCTTGCTAAAGGGAGAGCCAGGAGGGAGCTTGAGGGAAAGACAGGAGCCCATCCTTGCTGCGGGCACAGGTGACATTTGGGGCAGAGGGAGGGAGACGGTGGTCCAGTAGGAAGAGATTGGAGCCAGGACTGAGCCTGTGGATGGGCTGTGTGGCCAAGATCGGTGCTAACTTCTGGGTTCCAGTGCTCACCGGGTGCCCTGGGATCTGTGAACCCCAAGTTCGGTGAGCCCCCCGTCTCTGTGCCCCTGGAAATGCTTCGCTGGCACCACCTCCCATCTGGCACCCGGAGCTCCGGAGTGCGGGCCACTAGGCGCTCCAGCTCAGGGATCCCGGGTGGGCGCCCGGGGTCCGCGGAGATGCAACTGACCTTGGCGGGCATCAGAATGACGAGTGGCAGCAGCAGTATTGGGGTGAGGAACAAGATCAGGAAGGACTTGAACTTGGAGACATAGCTCAGCGCGGAGGCCATAGCGCGGGAGGGAGACCGACGGGAGAGGCGAGTGAGGGGCCCTGAGAGGCTCCGCGCGCTTAAGAAGGGGCCGCAGTCCGCGCGGATTGGGGGGGCAGTGCCAACTCCGCCTCCACCCCATGTGGCCTCCCCGCGGCCACGGGGCGGGGCCACCCTGCAGGGTCGCTGGAGCGCGCCTGCCCCCATCTCCGCCACCCGGCGGCGGCGGGAGGCGCCTGCGGACTCCAGCCCCTCGGACCCGCGCTCCAGGAGCGTCCTGGGCCCTGGCACGTCCCGGCGCTCCGAGCCTTCTCTGCGCCAACCTGGACAGAGGCGCGCCCGGGGATGCGGACCAGGGGGTGATCGGCCGTTCTTTGTCGGACTTTGGCGAGCGCCCCCGTCCGCAGCCACACCTGCCGAGGTCCCATTCGGAAAGTCCCCCCAGCCCCTCCCTCCTTTCCCCTTGCTGCTCCCGCCCCACCTCCCGCAGCCGGAGGGGTCTCTGGCAGAGACCAAGAGTGCGCCCCGCGCCCTCCGCGCTTCAGGCACTGCACTCCCTGGTCACCCTAGGCTTCCCAGCGCGTCGGTGCGGTGCGGTGCGCTGCTCTGGGCACGGGACCCCTTGTCCCCCGCGCGCCCTCTCCTTCCCGGTTCATCCCGCGTGCTCTCCAGCGATCGCAGAAGGGGCCAGACGCGGTACCCCGCAGCCCGCTGAGCGCCTTCCGCCCTCCAGCGGACACCAGCGGCCTGCCACGCCCGCCTGCCCCACGCTGCTACTGCCGGTTCACAGAGGCAAGCGGGGTCCGCAGAGGAAGGGACTTGACCAGGCTGCCCCGAGAGCCTCGTGGGTTCATGCCTTCAGCCCGCGGACTGCAAACAGGTACTGGGCTCCTGTTCTGTCCCAGCTCCCGTCTGGGGCCGGGATGCTGACACCTTCTCTGTCACTTTCTTCTTCCCTCCCTTCTCCTCTGCCTGCCCCGTCTGTCTCATTCTGCAGCTCTGTGTTGGGGGACCTCGCCCAGCTTGTGACTGAACCCCAGGCTGCTCCTTAGTTGTCACAGCCCTGGTGCTGGAGCCCCAGATCCCTGCTTTCCCAGCCTTTCCCAGCCTGGATGTGCGTTGGGACCCCCAAACAACACCTCCTACATCAGGTGCATGACTTTTCCTGTGGCCCCCACTCAAGGAGGTCCCCCAGACCCCTCCTGCCAGCATATGTTTCCTTCTTCCCCATGGGCGTGCGCTCAGAGCCTGGACCAAGTAGTTTCAGCAGGAGCGAGATCTTTCCTTCATTAAATATGCTAAACACGGGGCCCTGGGTGGCTCAGTCATTAAGCGTCTGCCTTTGGCTTGGGTCATGATCCCCGAGTCCTGGTATCGAGTCCCACATCAGGCTTCCTGCTAGGTGGGAAACCTGCTTCTCTCTCCCCCACTCCCCCTGCTTTTGTTCCCTCTCTTGCTGTGTCTCTCTCTGTGGAACAAATAAATAAAATCTTTTAAAATAAGGAAATAAATAAGTTAAACACTTAAGAACAGTTTGATGTTAATATCTAATAAAGGAATAAAATTATTTCTCATTTTTTATTCATGAGTTTTAGTTAGTTATTCTCAAAAGCTGAACATAAAGTTTCAATTTGTCTAAAGATTTTTATTTGAGAGTGAGTGGGAGAGGGAGGAACAGACTCGCTGCGGAGCAGGGAGCCTAACTGGGGATTTGATGCCAGGACCCTGGGACAATGACCTGAGCTGAAGTTTAACCAACTGAGCCACCCAGGCATTCCCTAAAGGTTTGATCTTCAAATGCAAATGTATTTACCAAAAGAATACTCTATTTTTTTTTTCAAACTCCCACTTACAAAAAACTTATATTTTTGGCCTGTTATGTTGCATGGTAACAAAAGAAGTAATGAAAAGCAACGTGTAAATTCATACGTTGTATTGATGACTTACCGATAAATGGATTAACTATATTAGGTGTCAAACATTGAATCACGATGTGTCTGCTTTGAGTATCCATCATGAGATCTATTCTGTTTTTTTTTCCTTCAGTTTTTTTAAAAAATAGTGTTCCTCAAAATATGAATTCAAACATTAGAATATATTTCTTGATCATAAAAAATAAGTAGTTCCCTAACTAAAAACATGTTGTGACTGATATACATATACTGATATATACTGATATAAAATTAAAAGTATTTTGGAATATTTAGTCATAATGATAAGTCATCCGTAATTGTGTAATGGAACTTTTATCCTCTTCCGAATAATTTAATAGAAATTTAGTCTTAGAACTGAGGTAGTAAAAGTCTATTTATTGGCATAATTTTTTTTTATTCAGGTGTGTTTCCTCAGTTTGATCTCAGTTTCAATTTGCAGTTGTTACTTTCTGATCCGAAGTAGCTGGTATTGTATGCAATATAAATTCCTGAAAATTTGCCAGCCTGTGGGTGAATTTCTAATACACTGAAACGGGGGTGTTGATGAAAGGGAGATGAGAATTCTCTTTGGTACACAAAGGTGACAGATGCAATTTCTCATGGAAGCAGACTCCGGAAATTATGCAAAAAGAGTAAGTTTTTCAGTTGCACAAGACCCAGGTACAACCGCATCAGAACTTAGAGCGGAACCCTGGGCCATGCTGAGCCCTGCATGAAACAAGAGTTCTGTTTCTGTCTGAGAAAGAGTTTGGCCATCTCGTGTGAAGTTGGACATTTACTATAAAACCCAGCATCTGGGGCGCCTGGGTGGCTCAGCTGGTCGGGCATCTGCCTTAAGCTCAGGTTGTGATCCTGGAGTCCCAGCATCGAGTCCTGCATCGGGCTCCCTGCTCAGCAGGGGGTCTGCTTCTCCCTCCGCCTTCCCCTCTCATGTCCTCTTTCTCTCTCTCAAATAAATAAATAAAAATCTTAAAAAAAAAAAAAAAAAACAACAAAAACTAGCATCACAGTCCTGCAGATCTATCCTAGAGAAAGGAGAGCATAGTCACACACCAGCCTGATTGTATAGGTTCACCGCAGTTGCATGAACAACGGCTCCAAGCTAGGAACCATCACCTGTGCTTCCGCAGGTGGGGGGGCAAACAGCCTGCCCTCGGTCGCAACAGTGGGAAACCGCTCCACAGTCAGGAAGAGCAGAGTGGGACGGTAGCAAGGGGATTATGTTGGGTGCAGGGCGAGAAGACCCACACCCGTCTCAAAGGCTACCTACGGCATTGCCCCCTTTACTTAACATACCACGAACAGAAGTGTTGAGAGGGGGGCAGAACGCACCCGTGGCTGCTGGGACCGGGGTTGGGGGAGGGTGTGGCTCTGGAAAGCGGACGGAACATTCTCTATCCTAATCTTGGTGATGGACGCACAAGTCTACAGGTGAGCCGGAGCTGCGCTGACACACACACTGTGCATATAAAAATCATTACATCCAGATACAGCCTGCCGCAGAGCCGGTGATGTTCCGCCCGCATTGATTTCCCGATTCTAAAAACTCTCCGCCCAGCAGACGGCTGCCCCAGGGCCGTCTGGCGCGTGGCACTGGGCAAGCCTCTGGACGATTTTGCAAATCCTTATGAATCCAACTATTTCAAAGTTTTAAAAAATCTTTTTAAAAAAAGATTTTAAGGGGCGCCTGGGTGGCTCAGTGGGTTAAGCCGCTGCCTTCGGCTCAGGTCATGATCTCAGAATCCTGGGATTGAGCCCCGCATCAGGCTCTCTGCTCTCTAGGGGAGCCTGCTTCCTCCTCTCTCTCTGCCTGCCTCTCTGCCTGCTTGTGATCTCTCTGTCAAATAAATAAATAAAATCTTAAAAAAAAAGATTTTAAAATATTTTTGAAAAAATCTTTTTAAAATTGCAATACATAAAAAAAATACTTGAGACTGATGCATCCAATCCCTCCCCGTTCCCAGTTTATGGCTGATACTGCAGCAAAGAAACGGCATTGCCGGTGAGATTGGGACATGCCTGGGGAAGCTGCTGGTGAGTAGGTTTTTCTAGACTTTGGATATTTCCCTGTGAGTCTGTTTGCACAGATCTGGGCAAACATTCCTCTGGTAATTCCTCCGGTAGGGTTTCTCCATCGGCTGGTCACAAGAACGGGTGTTATTTGTTTCCACAATTAACTTAGAAACATTGTTTCATTTGCAAACATACCTTGGTTGCTAAAAAGCCAGGGCCTGCTCTTTGCAGAATGTTGGGTGTGGCGCTTAGAAGAGAGTGTGGGTCAACTTCCCCCAGGTCCCAGGTTAGGTTTGCAACAACAAATATTTACTCGAGGGCTGCGGACCGGCCGGCTGTGGTCCGGGCTCTGCTCCCGGCTGCGGGCAGCTCCACACCCTTCTCCTTCAGGACTGTGGGTCCGCGTGGCATGTTCTCCCATTCGAGACCCGGTCTGAGGCAGGAGACACCCCAGGGACGTGCTCCTCTTGTGGCAGAGGGCAGGACAGAGAGGGCTAGGGGGCCTGTAGCAGGGGCAGCCCATCTCATGCATTCACCCCCAAGGAGCCCGAGCCAGGCTCAGCCAAGTCCAAAATAAGGGGGCGGGGAATATACTCCGTCTACAGGGGAGGGTGGCCAAGGGGGAGGAAATTAATAATAATAATTGTGAGCACATAATCTGGCATACCACACATGACCAATATTATCAAACCCAGGGGTCTACCCTGACACCTTTCAAAAGTGTGGTGTGTGGAAACAGGATCAGCTTCCGTGAGTCGCGTGAGCTCATTTCCAAGAGTTCCATAAACTCAGAAGGGAGAGGTTCGCGGGGGGCGTCCGAGGCAGCATTGATCTTCAAAGGCAAAATGGGGTCAGACCTGTTTGTGATGGAATGTAAGTGTGGTTAATTTGACAATAAAGACTGACTTTGCCAGTCAGGTGGTATGGGGGCTGCTTCCCGTAAGCTGACGGTGTTCTATGTGTAACCCTAACATTACGACACCAGCGTGGTGAGAGCACGCAATAACGGGAAATCACGGTCTATTCCATCAGAGGGATTGAAGTCAGCAATATTGTCATTTTCCCAAATCTTTC